AACAAGATTCACATCGAGTCAGGTGGCTGGTTGCGTAAAACACAATTTTCCCGACAAATTCAGTAAGAAAATGATCTCATTATTAGAGAGAAACCCTACAACTGATTTGATTAGAATAAAGAGAAAGGCGTAAGTAAATTACTTGGATCTGTTCACCAGTTTCAGTTTAAGCAACCATTGACTATCTTACTTTCGTGCGTCAGTTTTGGTTCCTGTCTTCCAGTTGCCCATTTGGATGGAAGAGTTAAAGGCAGTGTCCAAATGAAGGTGGATCGTTCCTGTAGACTAAGGCTGCAAAGACATAGAGTAAATGCACGAGCGCCATTGTTTGCGACACTTGGCCATTGTACTCAGTGTTTCTGACTATCGGTGACGCTGATCTCGGGGTCCCCAACCAGGAAGCATAAATTGGTCTATGAGAGCAACACACCTGCCAGATCTTAGCTTGACCACACTGCTTTTTCCACGCATTACCTATCTCGGCAAGTATCGTACATCATGGCAATTGACTTGGTAAGATGCGTAACACGCCCCAATCAACATAGCCCACACAAGTCGACCTCTTGATCCAGTGGACGAATATAATTAAAACCTTGCGCCCATCCTCAGCATTGCTTGTCCCATTTTCCCACCCGACTTGTGTAATGCAGCGTAATTAGCGGCGTTCAAACACCAACACTCTATCTTTATCCTGTTCCCGTAACTGACAAGTTTTTGTGCTATATTGCAGCATTGGTCAGCTTGCTGCAGTATACACTGGACGCTTCACAGACAACCAGATGTTACCACGGTGCCAGAGATGTCTCAAATTTACCCTAAACAAATGGTCTTCTTGATGATTATTCATATACAATGAATAACTAATATATACAACTGGTCAAACGAAGCAGGTATAATATCAAAGAGAACGGACCTCAGTACAGGACCTCTTTACAGGAGCACGGTTGTTCTATCTTGCTATTTTATGTTACGAATCCAGTAGAGCTGACAGCTGAACATGCTATTCAACATGTTTCACACTAGAACCTATTTTTCAAACTCAACAGAGCTTGCTCCCGATGATGCATGCAGCAGAAAATTTTACTTTTACTGAGACTCTAAAAAAATGATTCAGGTCTTTGAACTGGTAGCTTTGAGTATTGAAACATACAACATCCGAGTAGAAACTTGTTACGAAACTCATGGTAAACCACCAAGCCACAAAATGTGACCTCATGCGCTGAAAAGGTGTGTTTGGTCTCCCTGGGATAGTGGATAGCACAGATGATCGCAAAATGACGGAAAAGACTGTATCAGAGCCAGGATGTGTGTGACTGACATGCATTTCTTCTGTAGTATAGACAACCAAGCGCCGGTATGGGTCCTAAGCGCACATGACTGCTAAAGAAAGGCATTGCAATGTAAACCAATCAAATCGGCTATTCAAACCGATTTAAACAATACCTAACCTAAGTTCGGTTGTTTGGGTTTTTTCTCACTATGACAACGGCACAGACTAGATACTGGGGAACGTCTGAGTGGGGCCAATTTATCTCCATTCATTTTATATCAACCCTGCCGTGGGTGAAGTATCCTGACTGTGAAAATGAACCCGTCGCTGAAACAGATTTGAATAAACCATATATTTCCGAACGCATCCCTGAAATCCTCACGTGTGATCATCCATATTTGTGTCCGATAAACACGGAGTGTTGATCGACAGGCAACGATTTTTCACTTTCGATTGGATGCATCAAAAATCGTGGGAAACAGATCTGCACTGACCCGAACAATGACACTGACATTGAAGAAAGGAAACTCAGCATTGATTTGTAATCAGCGTTTCGTAGTATTCACGGTTTCAAATAACAAACTTTACTTTTTACATTTTCATTTAGCTTGCTAAGAATGACCCCTTTTTCCGGACTATATGATACAACACGGGGGACCTCGAGATGGTCGTAACCGATGGGTAGAGACACTGATTGACATGGCGTTCGTGTATCTTCTCAATTTCTTTGCAACCTCAGTCCAATGAAATTTTCCATTTTCTCTTCAACCCTACTTTCAACAGTCTTTTGTCTTTCTCCTACTGTTCATCCAAATGAGCAGCCAAAATACAGTAACCGAAACCGGCGCACGAAAGTTCATGATTGATGGTTGTTTGAACTTTAACTGATACAATACGAAAGCGAGATTGATGATGTACCGAGAGAAGGCGAAAAAATAGTCCGATAGGAAACATTGTTAATTGAATCTCACCATCTTTGTTGACAACTGGGAAAGAAAGATATAGCGCTCAGACCGACACAACAGAGTGATGCGTTCCACCTAGAGTGTGCTCTTTTCAATTGGAGAATGAGCTGCATAACTTCCAAACCAATTGTAACGCATGCAATAACGTGTGCTCAGATTGCGTAATCCACAATGCATACCGTTAATTTTGGAAATGCACTGAATCACGTTTAACACAAGACAAACGAGCATCACCTGCGGTACTCCATAGCGTCCGACTGACACCAGATCCGGGCGTTTAAATTCGAATGCCTTGTCAACCGGTTGTGTGAGTGATGCACCTCGCGGATCCAGTAACTGTGCGTTCACAATCTCATAGATTGGTCGTACCCGATCTCCTTTGTGATCAAACTCGACTTGTCCGGTACGACCATCAGACAGATTGACACGAAGCATATAGCTTTTCGTGAAAGGGAATAGGTGGGCGGGGTAGAGAAACTAGAGGTTAGGAATAAACGAGAAACTGAAACAGCACAATCTATGCGAAAACGGAATGGATTTGAGTGCCTGGACAGGCTGTTCGGGGCCCTATGATATACAGATTCACCGAAGTAATCATGGATTGTAAAGAACAGTACAGTTTCAGTTTGTACAACCATTAACCATTCACTAATGTGCACCGATTTTGGTTGCTACCTTTTAGCCGCCTGTATGGATGTACAGTAGGAGGAAGACAGGAAGCTGTTGAAATTAGAATCGAAGAGAAAATAGAGAATTTGATTGGACTAATGTTGCGAAGAAACTGAGAAACTGCACAAACGCTACTATTTACGACTCCCAGCCATATCACTCAATGTCTCTAACCATCGGTTACGACCAGCCCTAGAACCTGAGCTAGGGAGCCTAACGGGACCTATTGAGTTAGACTCCTGGTTAAGGTTTTCATACCCTCATGCCATGTCTTAGCTTGACCACCCTTGACTTTCATCCACTCACTACCTGCCTCAGCGAACATCGCTCGCCATGGCAACCTATCTGGTGACATGCGTAACACATATCCCAACCAACCTAATCTATGGAGATCTACCACTTGCTTCAGTGGGCGATAGCAGTTACCTAAAACGGTACAGTTTAACAAGCAGTCGGTTTTGGGTGAAAAGAGGGGAACCTTTGCAACAGGCAGCTTGGTATTTTTGGCTTTCATTTTTGGGTCTGGAAACCACTGACTTCGTTCGATTATGGTATCTGGTGGTGTCTCCAGCCAATCGGAATTTTTGAAGCCTTTATATTGGGACACTATCCACACTTCCGCCAATCGTTATGCAATTCCCCAGGGGAGACCATCAAACTTTCAGCCAAATCTAGGGTGCTATTAGTCCAAAGCTGAAGAAAAGTAACTATTTGATTTATGCAATCACGGTTTGCACGGTGTCCCACAATCTCTTCGCGAATCGAAGTTAATCTATATGGTAAAACCACCACCGGAATCTTCAGCATCATTCAAATAAGACTTATGATCTTGTGATTGGAATAAACACCGCAACACTTCAGATCCAATTTCTTCCACCCATATCTTGGACAACTGTCTGGTAAGCTCTTTCGTAAGGACTTCACCACCGGCCGGTTCAGACTAGGTGCAAAATTCAGCTGGCCCAGCAGCAGATAATGAACGTTCTACAGACAAAGTTCCAAAATTTCAAAGCGTGACACCAACCCAGAGCTGGGATTGGTAGGAGAACCGAAAAGACCTGGGCACTGTACGGAGGTTAATGGTTCAGGCTAGTCGCAGAATCGAACAAGGTACTAGTCGATCACAGCTCAGCCTAATAAATATGCCTGGCGGTCAGAGAATAAAAAAAACAGACTCCACGAACTCCACCATTAATGTGATTGGTCTCGGTTATACTCAACACGATAAGGATATCCAATAGGATTTGACAATTTAAGGCAAGAATGGATTGTCAGCCAGCGTAGGTGCACTGAATCCGCATTTCGGGGTTGAGAAATTCTCTTCGCAAACTTCAAACAACTTTCCTGTTATCAGAATGACTCAGCAGAATGATCTACAAAAACAATGCACAATCAGAACACACTGGTTTAGTGGTCAAACAATGAGATGTGGCACACTAGTATACACACCATCATGGTATACTTGATCATCAAAATGATCGCTCAGTATCGCAAATAGTGGCATGGCTCATGCATCTTAGCAAATTCTTCGCGACATTAGTTCGCAGGAATTCTATATCTTCTTTGTAACTCTGCCCGCAACATTCCGATCTTCTCTCGGCTGTTTTATTCAAATTGTCAGTAAGGGGACAGCAATCAAAGCCGGCGCACGAAAGTGCATGATTGTAAAAATTCATTCATGCCCATCAACCCTCGCGACAATGTGAGGATGCTATCACACGGGACGTAACAAGACAGCAAAGTCTGGATCTGTTGTGACACTGAGTGTTTCGGTCGGCGGAGCGTGGAAAATTTATTGAAAACACTCGGCTCTGATAGTCCGCCGAACGAACACCCGGAATAGCACTACTGCAAACAAAAGACCCGGCAAATTTTTCAAGCGTGAAGGTTGAGTATATTTTAATCTTCAATAAAAAGCTTGGTGGGGAACTGGTATATGTTGTTAGTGATAGAGTATTTACAGTGTTACGTAAGAACGACACCAATGTCCGATTAGGCGGGAAACACAGTCCCTTGAGAATTTATCGACAACAGAATGACGAGATTTAAGATCCCGGAAAATGGTATTAGCAACCAAGACAGCTCTGGGCTCTGAGCCAAAGCAGGTTTCGGACGCGTTGGACGATTGCAGTATCGAACTCAAACTCGGACGTCTCCGCATCATTATCATCCTTGAAAACGTTACTCCATTACTATCGCAATAACCGGGAGGGGGGCATATACGAAGCCCACTTCGGTAACAGACAAAGGTGTCATTCGAAAATAGTGAAAACACTACAGAAAACACTACTTCAGAAATTTTTCTCGGGGTAGGTGGCAAAAAAAGCTACTCAAAAAAAGAACGAAACGATAGAAAGAGATTTGCGGTTTAGAGAGGCAAGTAAACACACCAACGCAACAAGGGGTAACAGGATAATCAACACTAATTACACATCCGTTCTTTACGAAGGGCCCGGAGTTCAAACTCCAAATGGGCTGATGTACATAGTTAATAAATATTTTTTTCCTTCTTCTTGTTTGATTGATTATATAAATGTACGGCCGACTTTCAGAAGGTGGATATCAATTTTGGTGACCTTAATCACCGAGCTACCACCGCTCATTCAATGATCTCTGGCAAGGGTGAAACTCGAGTCAGGTGCTTCCCAGTGTATACTTGACTGGATGAGGCGAGCATTGTGTTTGAAGATACAAATTTAACGGACGGTCTTTCAAAATTGTTTCACAATACTACTTACAAGTAACTGAGTTAAATGTGAAACTGTAATGGGTCAATTGTTCGGACGCGGAGAAGGGAGGAGGGCATGTGTTGCATGATGGGTGAGGTAAGCAGTAGCTAAGACAGTAATATCTCAAACAGTTTTTACTCCCGTCTCCGACCCTGATGATATTTGTGCATCGAAGTCTGGCGAGTGAATTTTCAACTTCGGCAATTAACAGTACACATCAGGGCTCGGTTACAGATGCAACTGTGCATGCATGCTTCTGACTGTGCGAATCACATCACATGTCACAAGACAGGAGCATGAAGAAGGGGCGGGGGAGGGAAGGAGATGACAAAAAGACTGAATCCCGTCCCCGTTGGTTTGTTTATTTTATTGTACAAATCAACATGCGGTCTCAATTTATGGGTTTGTTTATGCACAGAGCCGAAATTTAATTTCATATTTCCAAAAAGATTTCCTAAGCAACCGGTCAGCACACACCTTTCTTTGTCCCTTATGGTTTCCCGTGAAGTTTGATCGATCGGTTTGATAACCTGGTCGCTTTTCAACTTTGCCACTGAGGTTACCCAAACGGGTTTCGGTTTTCATTCAATGAAATAAAGTATAACTATTAAGAATAAAAACGGGCGGCAGAATACAGACAATTCCGGATAACTTCGTTATCTGGAATATACATATATATATCGCTTCGCCCGGTGCAAGTGTGGAAACAATACACATCGAACTGAAGCACATAGCAATTAAGTCAAATCGTTGTTTCACACTTTCGTGGGTACAGAATGTGTCAGACAAATACTGAAACAGAAATGATGTCGATAAAGAAAAAAAACATGAAAAAGCTCGATATGGTGTGCTTTTTACTTTACTCAAAACGGCTTTTTGTTTTATTCAGCCTTCAAAAGCCTCAGTACTATCAGGGTGGGTTTCTAGGATTGTGGCTGACTTTTACTACTTATCTCAGAGTTTTGAACAAAAGAGAGCTCGAACCCTTGGTGACGAGAAATTTGTTTGCATGCATTTAAAAATCAGTTAAGATGACACCTCCAGTGTGCGTGATGAGCTTCCGTCACCGTCTGAGCCGTACTCACATAGAAGTAAAACAAATAATTGGGTAAAATTGATCCAGGGGAGCCCCTACCTCCTCAGCTTACTTCACACTATAGAAACAGAAGCTAACAACTGACCTATTCGACAGTACATGCTTGTTTTACAGCGAATGGACTCACTCGTACAAATGTTGCGCGTATTGATTCCAAGGGTAGGATTCTCCACCATCCGCTGGTTCCGAGTATATTTCCAACGGATCCTCACTGCACGTTTTGACTGCACGCAACACGCTGATTGGTTTGGGAAACGCGCGAGCTACAGACAGAATACCAGTAGTGGCCACACGAACAGCATCGCTCACATGGTCCAGTTCGCTGGACTGAAGCAGGCGTACGCCAATCACACCTAAATACCAGAGCAGTCCACAGACAAGTATTGTTAACCGCAGAAAAATTGTCATATAAAAATGGATCAATTCGACAAATAAGGATCTAAGCAAACATAAGAAAGGGAAGCAATTTTAAGTGACAACACATTTCAAAATTAAAACAAAAAGAGAACGTCATCACAAAAATTGCTAGAAACCGGATATAATCGACATGTGAACAGTTGTCAAAATAAGGTATACGGATGGACATACCTCCGAACCGACGATGCACAACAAAACTCCGCAATGGTCGTTACTTTCAATGAATACATTCCCTATACCATTCGGTGATTGGATTGCAAAATGGAAACAGTGCCAAATCACCTAATCAAATGCAGTTTGCACAACACATTTCAGTTCCAAGACCAAGATTCTCAACACGAATTGGGTGTAAATGCACTTTTCACTTATATGTCTTTACTAGAAACAGGGGTTCACGCTGGTGATTTTAAAGCACAACATCAGACAAACACCTAAGCATTTAATTCAAAAGTGGAACACCCAGTTCTACAATGCCGTTTTCATCAATTAAAGGAAATGTGAATGGGCTCACCACTGGGTCTATCGACTAAAGATTTTTATAGAAAATTTGCAAATCAAAAACAAATTAGGTGGTTGATTTTCTGAAATGAATTGAAAATGAAACGAGTGGCGAACAAGCTCGTTTTCAGAGATTCGTAGCTATGCCAATAAATCGCAATATACATTACTACTTGGGAATAAAATTGTCTTGGGAAAGTAAAATAAAATAAAATAAAATCACGGATTACTAGAAACGTTTTCATCGTGTGACCGGAAATCGGGTACACCACGATCACGTATTTGTTTGTCCACTCATCCGATCATCGAGATTACTCGTGATGCGGTGTGTGTGGGGTGGGCCAGGGAATCTTTAGCGCTTGTGCAAATTGTTTTTCGAGCACACAGAGAGGGGGTTGTGCAGAGGAATGGACACCGCTTCTGCTGTAGCCAGCATCCGACAGCGAACCTGCCTCAATAATCGTCCATGAACTTTGTAAAGGGCTCGGAAAGTCTCTGACACGTCCAAAATTATCAAAATCTTGGTTGTTTGCTAATAAATTTACGTACTGTCTAAATGTTGTGAAATCCATTATTTCATAAAACGTTAGTAGCGGGACACAGAAACCATCTCCAGTGGACTGTTTCAATATATGCACTCTAAAATACTGCATACATACAAAGAGAATAGTACCTCACTAGAACTGTTGTTCCAAGATTAGTATATCAACCCATCTTCTCTACAGAGATCAAGCTGATTGGACGATTTAATTGTGCCAAATTTTAAAATGATTCCAGACATACTTTTCGCATTTGATACATTATCTATTTCAAACTGACACTTCTAAAAATCAACACAACAGTTACTGCAAAATGAAATCAATCATATCCAAAACCTCCTGATATCCAATTGGGATTACAAAGTTTGGTAGTGATAAATTCAACAAAGAATATCCAGTCTTCATAAGGTATGCATTTAATCACACATCTCAAAAGAGAGTGAACGATGAGAACAAATCTCTTGAAGACCTATTGTACAATTATAAGAACCAGCAATTTAAGCTCTGGGACTTGCAGCAGCGAAGTGTGTATATTGAGACCCATTTAGATGGATGTACAGCAGTTGCCCATGACTGCTGTGAACAATGTAAAACGTTTCACTGAGAGTTAATACAAGAATACAGATATAATGTCCCTTCAGTTCTCTGTAACACCCAGCGGATTGCATACTCAGATCAGCTGGGCTAACCTGAAGTGACTATGTGAATATCATGACTACAAATTGTAACGAAATTTGAAACCAATGGTTGGATNGGATTGTGATCAGAGACAAAACTAGTTAGGTGATTTGCAGCCCGGGGACTGGCTTGATGCATTATCACCAGTGGTGTAGTGTTAGGAATTAATTTTACAGCTTAGATTAGATAATGAATAACTTGGAGAAGCAAAGGCTGTCCGTCATTACAAAAGTGTGAAACGTGTTTAAAGAGTTCTTGATCAAATCGATCAATGCAGTATTGCGAGGGCATGGTCAAAAGGATCATTGGGTAATATATATATATATATACATATATATATATATATATATATATATATGTAAATATATGGTCTAAATGCTTTTGAATACAGTGCCGCTAAACAGTGTGTGCGTGTGTGACTAACCAGAGGATAACCTTTAGATAAAGAATGAGGAAAAATGTGAGTAAGCTATATTGATGTCGTTTAGTTCGTACAAAACATAGAGCAAAAAAGCTCGAAGAGCTCCTGTGACTGCCCTGACATATTTGACGTAACAGTTGTTCGATTTAATTTCATCGGTACATTGAAATCGGTTTGTCGAAATGGAAATTAAAAACGTCTGGTGGTGATCCTCGTCTTATCGTGTGGGTCTACGAAAAGATACACTCAGATTAAGCGGAGATGAATGCTACCAGGTGAGTCTCCGGATTATGGATAGGAGGATACCTTCACCGAAGAATGTTAGCTGTGAATAAATTGTGGCATACCGCGACAAATAAGCAGTTGCGAACAAACAGCGGCGGCACTACCAAGGTGTGGTGGGGTTCAGGCCGGTCATCTGGCTCCTGCTTAAAAGCCGCATAAGCCCAATGGCGATGTTGTGACATAGGTCGACGTGACTGGCCTTTTAAAACTAAAGTCACTGACCCCCGCCCCCTCCCACTTCCGAGGCGAGAGATTACTTCCTGCTGCCTTGCAGTTCTCACTTGGTTGTGCAAAGGCTAGAGGTGCGCCCTCAAAAAAAAACGCCAAGTGACGCTGAGGACGACTCTTATACCAAACTCCCAAGTAACTTCATGGCCATGATCTTTTTATTTTGCTTCCTTTTCTTGAACATGCAATGGTATAATTTTCAGGAGGGGAGAAGCGGCCAATAAAAGGGCTGCCATTCAACAGACAATGGGTACAGTCAGGTAGTGGTGGTGGGATTCGAACACACATCCCGGGGTGATAATTTGGTAACGTTACCACCGGACCACCACCGCCGATCATGTATGAGGCCGGCTTATCCTTTCCAAGGAGCCAGCCGCAGTAAAAACGCTCCTCCTCTTACCTTGTGGAATGTTTGACGCTTGGAGTGCCGGTTCGGTCACAATCCATGCCCATTCGGTTTCGAGCATACCCAATTTTCGGGCCGCCGCAAATACGTGCTCAGCAAACGAGCGACGGAGAAAGACCAGAATGGCACGAGTCTGTTCGTTTCGCACCGGTCGAAGCAAGCTCACAAAATCTTTCGTTCGAGCAGCATTCTCTTCATCCGTGTTTATCACAACTTGCCGAGTGATCTGTCAATTGTGGGGATGTTTTAACATTATAGTTTGTGAGTAGTTCATATGGGTAGTTCTACGTCCGTCTTTGAAAGAATATTACAAACAAATATAAGACATAATACATTCAATTGTAACAAATTGATTTTATGGTAATAATATGTACTCTTACTTTAACAAATGCATAAAACTCCGTAAGGAAAAAGAAAGCAAAACAGTCAACCACTTGCTAGTGAAAAGAAAGGCCTTACTTTTCAGATTTCAGAACGAAAAAGCACACCGAATGTACACACAAATATCTTGTTTAGTACCCCGAGCAGTAGTCACTCGCGGTGCGATTTAAAAGAACTCCACTTAGTGGAATCTAAAACACAGGGATCACAAGTCACAGAAACAGAAATGAATCATATATTCACTAATGAATTAGTAAAACACACGATGAGTTTCTTTTGGGCCCATGTCAAGTGGTCACCGACCTCAAAAAATCAACCTCACAAAGAATTTGAGCCCACTGAACATCAAAAAGTGTTCCTTAGAAACATGTAATTTCCGCTAGCCAATCGACTCATTTCACTGTTCAACAGACGTGTTCGTGAAGACGCAATGGCGAATGATTGAGGACCTGCGTGCAATACACCAATAATAAGGTTGAAGAATGGCTTGTAATTTTATCTTACTGAAGACTTTGGCAAGACTCATTTTACCCCGTATGAATACATATTAACGTTTAAGATGACTGTCCGTGTCCAAACCAGAGAAAACGATCTATTCAAGAGGCCACTAATCAACTGATTCACTCAGTTTTATCTACTGCTGATATCTGTGGTGTTTATTATATTTTGTCGATAACAAAACAACAAATAATAATAACATATGCAAATTAAGTTTGATAGTGGATTACATCGTTAAAACCAATGCCGAAAATATAACCTTTACGGTCAAATAAAGCAACTGCGAAAGTTAAGAGTGATGGTTAGGTAAATTTAAGTTTATCTGGAGCAGCC